ATCCCCTACTTGTTTTGAATGGTATATATCGATTTAAACAGGAATTTTTCATAGACAAGCCATCATCATGTTACATTCTGTATATCACAATACGTCGGAACATGTTGCACGATTGCTGGATACAACGTGAACTAGTTCATATCCCATCGAATCGATTGTTTACCATACGACTACAACACAACAACATGGCGCCATGAAGTATTTCCAAACCAATCGACATAATCTAGTCGTAATCTCAAAGAGAATTTTTTAAAAGTTTAACGCCAATATAAAGCAGGATTGAAAATAAATATTACATATGATCGGTAGACAAACTTCCCCTTTACTTAAACCAAACCATCCATCAATTCTTCCTGAATCCTACTTCACAGGGTTGTTTTGTACCATTCCTGACCAGATAACGTATTCAAAGAATGCCAGACAGCTCGTCTTGTTTTAGTTGAGGTCGATTCCAGTGTTAAACACCCACACTTCAAGTCACATTGAAGAATAGGCCCCAGTCGATCCTCATGTCAAACAGGCTGAATTCAGGTTGGCAATGAGCTATGTGACAACAGGTAGAATCTATGACTTGTATTAACCAAGGCCTCCTTTAATTGTCCTGACTCACGGAAGGAAAGCATGTTGTTTGAGGAATCTGGTATTGATGAGCTGAGCGTTGTGGCATTGGACAGGAGAATTTGAAGTAATTGCATTACCGGTGGGACCTTGAATTTCAAACAATGTTTAGTTTCTTGTGTTGTCCAAATGCATCATTGGTGCTTTGGAAAAGCGTGTTTGAAGTTCCAGTGTGTAGTACTTAATATGTGATGGGCATTGTTTAATCACGTTTAGTTTAATTTATTTCTTCAGCGCTTCGGTATAATTTGTGAATTTTCACGTATACATGATTATTTTAGGGATTCGACAACCATACAATTACAACGTTACATTGTGTTCCTGGTTGAAATTATTTGTTTTAAAATATTTGACAAATGCATACTGTGTTTGAGAACGTGGATCACACTGTGCTGTGTTGATCGATGTCAACGTTGTTGTAATCTTAAGCTTGTTAGCACCTTGTAACCTGTACGCTCGGAGACTCCGTGCGATTTAAGGAGTTTAGTTGTGGATATGTTGGTGCTATGATGCAGCAACAATTGTTCAGATGTTCCCTGTTTATTTCGTGTCAGTTTCAGTTGGTGTGCATTGTTCCAGCCACAATAACATGTCTCACCAGCTATTATAGATATACAACCACATCGACGTCAGTCCGTACGAAGTCCAATCGTGTAAATTTCAAATGCTGTTCAAGCACATCACGCTGATTTCAAATGCTGTTCAAGCACATCACGCTGATTTCAAATGCTGTTCAAGCATATCGCGTTGATTTCAAATGCTGTTCAAGCATATCACGCTAATTTCAAATGCTGTTCAAGCATGTCAATTTGATTTCAAATGCTGTTCAAGCATATCGCGTTGATTTCAAATGCTGTTCAAGCATATCACGCTGATTTCAAATGCTGTTCAAGCATGTCAATTTGATTTCAAATGCTGTTCAAGCATATCGCGTTGATTTCAAATGCTGTTCAAGCATATCACGTTGATTTCAAATGCTGTTCAAGCATATCACGTTGTTTTCAAATGCTGCTCAAGCATGTCAATTTGATTTCAAATGCTGTTCAAGCATATCACGCTGATTTCAAATGCTGTTCAAGCATGTCACTTTGATTTCAAATGCTGTTCAAGCATATCGCGTTGATTTCAACTGATATGCTTTAACATCGTGTACATTCAAGTGACAATATCAACGTTGTGTAGATTTCAAGTTTTAGCATTCACGTCATGTAGGTTTCAAATGATATGCAAGCACATCGTGAGGGTTTCAAATGATATGCAAGCACATCGTGTAGGTTTCAAATGATATGCAAGCACAGTGTGTGGGTTTCAAATGATATGCAAGCACAGTGTGGGTTTCAAATGATATGCAAGCACAGTGTGTGGGTTTCAAATGATATGCAAGCAGTGTGTGGGTTTCAAATGATATGCAAGCACTGTGTGGGTTTCAAATGATATGCAAGCACAGTGTGTGGGTTTCAAATGATATGGAAGCACAGTGTGTGGGTTTCAAATGATATGGAAGCACAGTGTGTGGGTTTCAAATGATATGCAAGCACAGTGTGTGGGTTTCAAATGATATGCAAGCACAGTGTGTGGGTTTCAAATGATATGCAAGCACAGTGTGTGGGTTTCAAATGATATGGAAGCACAGTGTGTGGGTTTCAAATGATATGCAAGCACATCGTGTAGGTTTCAAATGATATGCAAGCACAGTGTGTGGGTTTCAAATGATATAGTTGTATAATATACAAACACGCCGTGTAGATGTCAAGTGGCATAATGTACATCGTGGAGGGTTCACATGATATGCAAGCACATCGTGTAGATGTCAAGTGGCATAATGTACATCATGGAGGGTTCACATGATATGCAAGCACATCGTGTAGATGTCAAGTGGCATAATGTACATCGTGGAGGGTTCACCTGATATGCAAGCACATCGTGTGGGTTTCAATTAATATGCAAGCACACCGTGAAGATTTCAAGTGACAAGCATGCATACTGGGCAGGTCTTACACTGTTTACACGTACATCGCATACATCGTCACTTGTCTCTGTCAACGAGTATGCATGCAAGTATTCAAGAGAATACATCCTACAGGTGTACGGCGGGACATGCTTACCTGTTTCGCGAAGACCTGGTTAATAGTGATGCTTTTAACTATATCGTCCCTGTGTTGTTTCAAGTCTAGTTCCGACCCGTGAAGGTCCGGGTTAGAATATTGGCCTTCAGTAACCCATGCTTGTCGTAAGAGGCGACTAACGGGATCGGGTGGTCAGGCTCGCTTGTTTGGTTGACACATGTCATCGGTTCCCAATTGCGCAGATCGATGCTCATGATCACACTGGATCGTCTGGTCCAGACTCGATTATTTACAGACCGCCGCCATGTAGCTGGAATATTGCTGAGTGAGGCGTAAAACTAAACTCACTCACTCACTCAAGTCTAGTTCCCTAGCTGGGAGACTGTCTGGTGTAGTGGATGTTGTATCTGTAGAAAGTGCTGCACATGTACTGTACACGTGCATGTCTGGCGTCTTTCTCATCGAGCGATGTGTATTATCACGTCAAAGTGAGATTGGTTGTGGCAGATGTGATGAGCTGGCAGAAAACTCTAGCAAACCCATACCAGCCACATATACAACTAATCAATCGAGAACAACATACGGCAATAACACTGGAGCTATGTCGTCGTTACACAATCGAGTTACTGATCTATGGCATCAATATCCGGGGCTGAAGCTGCTATGTAAATGTAATATGTTGCATGGTGTGTATGTGTGTGTGTGTGTCTGTCTGTCTGTCTGTCTGTCTAGTGAACATTTATGGACTAATCCTTTAACTAGCTGGATCCTTGAAGGTCCGGGTTAGAATTGATCTTCAGCTTGTCGTAAGAGGCGACTAACAGGATCGGGTGGTCAGGCTCGCTGCCTTGGTTGACACGTGTCATTGTATCCCAGTTGCGTTGATGATGTCAATAACTGGATCGTCGATTACATATACAGACCGCCGTCATATAGAGCTATATATTGCTGAGTGCAGCATTGAACAACAAACAAAACATGTCCACCTGAATGGCACTTGTCGAGATAATATACACCTGTACGATCAATCCAGTGCTTTCTGCAGACACATACATGCACTTCACCTCAGCTTGACAGTGTCAACATCAAATAAATAATACTAGTACAATAATTGATATAGCGTGTTTCAATTAGGGCCATAGCAGTGTTAATAAGCATTCAAGTGTTATGGATAATATGCCCTATTTCCGCAGCGTTCGTCACACTCCAATGGCTTTTGAATCACCCTTTTAATATCACTCCCCATGAAACCAGCCACGGTCTACTTCCCCCGATCTTCTATCCCACGAGATATAAATAGTTTATCCTCACTCCATCTCCTGTATGAGAAAATTGTTTCGACTTAACAGAGAAACGTTCTATCAAAATCTATAATTGCCAATGACGCGGCATTTCCAAGCCCATTGCCTTCATGAACTAACTTACTGCCGTGTAATCACAAGTGACATTCCTATGGATTGAGTGTAAGGGAAAGAATTTCATTAAAAAGTATTTTGGGGCGTGTTCAACTCAGATTAAATATATAGGCTATGTTTAGAAGGAGTAATTTCATTCACGCCTTTTCTATGTCAGTAGGAAGTTTGTAAATACGTTTCTCATCACTACAAGAAATGGCTTCTAGGCGTCATTGATTAGGGAAGTCGACGTGTACGTTTCAGTCGCTTCGTTACGCATTTCGGCCACATATACCGCTAGACGAGATTGACAGTATTTGATATGAAAACATTTTGTTTGCCTAAACCCCCCTGATGCTTTAATCCAACAGACAAGCAACAATAGCGGAATCTGAAGTCTTCTCGTTAAATACAGAGACAAGGCCACTGTTAGTCATATGATATTGAACGCGCAGAGATCAAGGATACTGGAACTTCCTCCTTTGATTTGAAATTAAATATCCTCTGGGTAAATATGTACTCTCCATACACGTTTATTTCAAGACGTCATGAAATACGTCTTAGGGATTATTGTTATATTTTACTGAGAGAGTGAGTGAGTGAGTGAGTTGGGTTTTACGCCGCTTTTAGCAATATTTCAGCAATATCACGGCGGGGACAACAGAAATGGGCTTCACACATTGTACCCATGTGGGAAATCGAACCCAGACCTTCAGCGTGACGAGCGAACGCCTTAACCACTAGGCTACCCTACCGCCCCGTTATATTTTAAATACATGTGATTATATCGATTTTTGTGAGTTGGTCTTTGGAGAATATTGATTGGTGATGTATTCAGATATATTTTTATAGTATTCAGCATCACTAAGAATCCGATTTACTGTTAAACATTTTATGTTAATTTTATGTCGTTTCTTTTCAGGTGTCATAACTTATACGTCCCCGGGCGTGACGTCAGCTGTGAATGGTGTACTACGTCACTTGAATCTGCTGCACCTTGACATAACCGATGACGTCATTTCATGCCGAGAAGATGTCAACTGCATCAGCATGTCCCTTGCCTCAAGAGCTAAGTCAGAGGTAAGAATTATATATAACTGCGTTATGTTGAATCCTCGTTCAGTGTTCCAGTCGAATCGTCCGTGTTGGGCATCAGTGTCCAAGAATGTCATTCGTAGTTTACTACTCAAACGGAGTTAAAGAATGCCCTAGTTTTACATATGGCTAAAAGGAATCTGCCATGTCTTTGAAAAAACCGAGTGTTATTCGTAACTTTATTTAAATTATATATGTAGACGATGTCGATCAGAAAGGCGATCAGAAAGGCACGGTTTCCGGACTTACATTTGTAATTGCTTGTGCATGTGTGTTCCCGTGTTTTTCAGATGAACAATTGCCTTGCCTTTGCATGTGTTTGTGATGACTGCAACACGATTAACATTTTCATCTGGAATCCTGATAGTGATTTGATAGTGGTTCATAAACATGAGTCACGATACAGTCGGAATTATACAATGGACTTTGTAGCTTTTAGCTGTTCCGAATAGCAAGGCTTTGCTGTCCCAATACATAAGTTCAGTTTAAAAAAGTTTTTGATAACATACCTGTAACACCTGTGACGTGTCATCAATACCGAGACTGTCAAAAACACCTGACATTCTATCGGACAACCACGACATTTTTTTATTCAATTTTTCAAAATCCCAGGTATATCAAGGAATGAATATACGACAGTATTGATCTAATGTGCATATCATTAACATTAGTAAAGATTTCCAGCTAGGCATGTAGACGAAAGTCAGGTTTATCGCCTGTACAATACATATCTACGGCAACTAGAACAGGTAGACAATAGTGACAGAACGATTTGCACATCCATAAGAAAAATACGAGTCGGTTTACAATTCCACTGTTTCATGATCATGGGTGTATGAATCACTATAAAAATGGTGATGATGCCATGTGTTCTCGAAAAGCAGACCTGTGAAGATCCGGGGTAGAGTTGATCTTCAGTAACCTATGCTTGTCGTAAGAGGCGTCTAAAGGCTCGCTGACTTGGTTGACACATGTATATCGTATCCCAATTGCGTAGATCGATGCTCATGCTTTTAATCACTGGGTTGTCTGGTCCAGACTCGATTATTTACAAACCAGCGCCATATAGCTGGAATATTGCCGAGTGCGGCGTAAACCTAAACTCACTCACACCCAATGTCATAAACACGCGTGCAGTGGTTAGTCTATTGTTCACCTAAAATAAAATCGGGTACCAGGCATGAGGAAGTATGAAACACACCTGTGATGTATGTTGATCTCTTCTATACGAGAATAAGCAAAACAATTAAAATCTCTCATGACATTTTCATTGTTATTTTTTCGTGTGTGTTTCGTGAACAACAATGGCAGATTCCTTGTATCCTATCTGTTTGCGGACAGTACAGTATCTATTGCAGCCGGAGATCATAGATGGTCTGAAAATGTATCTGTGTACAGTCAGGTTGAAGTGACTTTTGTGTCCGTGCACCTCTCATTACTGTGTAATATGGTACGACCAATAGTTAAATACGCTATGCACGATCATCGGATTTCGTATTTAAGAGACGATTCATCATTTGGCGAGAGGGTACACATTCTGCATTCTTGGGGAAGAAGGGGTTCTTGGTGCATCGGGAAGGTGTACTTGACGATTGTTGGAAAACAGTCCCGGTGTATGTGTTCACTACTATACTCGTGGATATGTAGGGTGTAGATGTGTATTGATGGATAGAGAGGGTGTATCTGTTGATTGTTAGAGGATATGGAGGGTGTAGATGTGTATTGATGGACAGGGAGGGTGTATATTTTGATTGTTAGAGGATATGAAGGGTGTAGATGTGTATTGGTGGACAGGGAGGGTGTATCTGTTGATTGTTAGAGGATATGGATGGTGTAGATGTGTATTGATGGATAGGGAGGGTATAGATGTGTATTGATGGACAGGGAGGGTGTATCTGTTGATTGTTAGAGGATATGGAGGGTGTAGATGTGTATTGATGGATAGGGAGGGTGTATCTGTTGATTGTTAGAGGATATGGAGGGTGTAGATGTGTATTAATGGATTGGGAGAGTGTATCTGTTGATTGTTAGAGGATATGAAGGGTGTAGATGTATGTGTATTGATGGATAGGGAGGGTGTATCTGTTGATTGTTAGAGGATATGGAAGGTGTAGATGTGTATTGATGGATAGGGAGGGTGTATTTGTTGATTGTTAGAGGATATGGAGGGTGTAGATGTGTATTGAAGACAGGGAGGGTGTATCTGTTGATTGTTAGAGGATATGGAGGGTGTAGATGTGTATTGATGGATAGGGAGGGTGTATCTGTTGATTGTTAGAGGATATGGAGGGTGTAGATGTGTATTAATGGATTGGGAGAGTGTATCTGTTGATTGTTAGAGGATATGAAGGGTGTAGATGTATGTGTATTGATGGATAGGGAGGGTGTATCTGTTGATTGTTAGAGGATATGGAAGGTGTAGATGTGTATTGATGGATAGGGAGGGTATATCTGTTGATTGTTAGAGGATATGGAAGGTGTAGATGTGTATTGATGGACAGGGAGGGTGTATTTGTTGATTGTTAGAGGATATGGAGGGTGTAGATGTGTATTGATGGACAGGGAGGGTGTATATGTTGATTGTTAGAGGATATGGAAGGTGTAGATGTGTATTGATGGATAGGGAGGGTGTATCTGTTGATTGTTAGAGGATATGGAAGGTGTAGATGTGTATTGATGGATAGGGAGGGTGTATATGTTGATTGTTAGAGGATATGGAGGGTGTAGATGTGTATTGATGGATAGGGAGGGTGTATCTGATGATTGTTAGAGGATATGGAGGGTGTAGATGTGTATTAATGGATAGGGAGGGTGTATCTGTTGATTGTTAGAGGATATGAAGGGTGTAGATGTGTATTGATGGATAGGGAGGGTGTATCTGTTGATTGTTAGAGGATATGGAAGGTGTAGATGTGTATTGATGGATAGGGAGGGTGTATCTGTTGATTGTTAGAGGATATGGAGGGTGTAGATGTGTATTGATGGATAGGGAGGGTGTATCTGTTGAATGTTAGAGGATATGGAGGGTGTAGATGTGTATTGATGGATAGGGAGGGTGTATCTGTTGATTGTTAGAGGATATGGAAGGTGTAGATGTGTATTGATGGATAGGGAGGGTGTATCTGTTGATTGTTAGAGGATATGGAGGGTGTAGATGTGTATTGATGGATAGGGAGGGTGTATCTGTTGATTGTTAGAGGATATGGAAGGTGTAGATGTGTATTGATGGATTGGAAGGGTGTATCTGTTGATTGTTAGAGGATATGGAGGCCGTAAATGTGAATTGTTGGAAAACAGGGGAAGTGTACGTTATTTGAATAGCAAGACACTACAAATTGGTAGGATTGAATTTAAGAGTTTGTCCAGATACCGATATCAAATTACAGAGGATACAATCACTTTATGCTCTGTATTAATCACCTCACCGAACAAGGTGAATGAGTGAATGTTGTTGTTGGACGTGATTAAATATGCAAGCAACAACAAATTATGGATAATTTCTGATTTTTAAAAAACAAATTCTGTGTGTGTGCATGCGTGCGTGCGTGTGTATGTGTGTGTGTGTCCTTCGCTTTGCCCAAATCTAATTTCAAGTTCTATTCTGTGAGGTATTTGACATTCACGACACAAATAAATCACTCAACAATAATCGCTAAGGACATCCACAAAACCATATTTTCCATTGCCATTTCCAGAAGAATGGAACATACATTAATAATATGCACGCTATGTTTTCAGGCAGTTCTCGAGCTTACACGACACCTAAACTGGACCTACGTGAGCACCGTTTCGCTCCCCAACACCCGGGCCGTCGCCGAGGAGCGTCTTTTTGCAGACATGGTCGCCATTGATAAAGTGTGTTTATCGGAACGCCGTGTTGTCAGCAACGTGCAAGGCATTACAAGCGCTGTCTCCAGAAGCACCTCGAAAGGAATTGTTGTCTTCACTGGAGATGCTTCTCTAGACGGCGTCTTCACCCTCACTCTTGAAACTCCCAAGACCGCAATAGTTGTATCTAAAGAGTTATTGTCCAACAGACACCAGCAGGACAGATACATCGAAGTAACCGATTCAGATATGAACCTTGTAGGATTTGGAGAATTCCTCAATGCCTTTACTGAAAACACAACCTTGCAATGGATTCGTAACACTAGCTATTTCCAAGGAACGTGTTTTGTGGCCGGAAGTGACGTGACAGCCATGATATCATCATGCATCAAACCAGAATCAAATCCAGGATCCTTGGCAATGTTAGATGCCGTAGAGATTGTCAGTGGTGCTCTGACATTAGCATTGAATATGTCCTGTTCAGCGTATGACGTTCTGGCATGTCCGGCATTGGCCATGGCTGTAACACCAGTGTCCATTAGACAACGTGCCAACTACACACAGAGGTCTGGGGAGCATGAACAACTGTTGGTGGAACAGAATACACGAGTAATTTTTGCAACTACATCGCCATGGCCCGTTAACCTGACAGAGGTAGGTGTTTGTTGATGATCGTGTTCATAAATATCTCACATTTACTGAGTCAGAATTAATAGATCAAGTATTTTATAAACAATGGTTCTGAGTACACAAACTTGGGTTCGTAAGACTAGAAATCCTGTATCAAAATAAGGCGCAAACCGTGTTCCATTTCAATGCTTCGTCTCTTCAAATCAATTTCACATTTATTTAGAAATATCCGCTTCAGCAATAATTATGGAATCGTTCAAAGTTGAGGTGTAGTCTAAATTTCACATGGATTGCTGGCCGTTAAAGAAAGTGTGAAAGGGTTACAGGAACGGATATTGTTCATTTATTGTGTTTTGCATCTGATGTTTGTGTTTGTTCCGTAGGTCCAGACCAAACATGGCAGTCTTCAACTTCCGCAGTTTCTCCCCGAGATGTTCTACAACTCACACTGCCACGGCTTCTGTTCTGGGTGTGACATCTGCAAACCAATAATAACATCCAACGAGAGAGTCGTGGTCCAAGAGGGTACACTATACATCGTGGGAGTATTTCCCATCCACAAGTCAACATCCGGTGTAGCATGCGCAGATCCCAACATTCCAGGATTTCGAGTAGCTCAGGCGTTCACCGCAGCAGTTGGTCGGATCAACTCAACAGGTCTCGTGAAGGATCTACCAGCTGGTGTATCAATTGGTTGGGTTATGTTCGACTCTTGTGGCGACACAACCTGGTTTGAGAGAAAGCACCATGAGATTGACACGTGCTTGTATAAATATAAAGATGCCAACGAGAAAGATGTTATTATTCAACCAGCTAGAACCATTGCCTATATCAACCTCGATGGAAACAGGAACCCAGAAACTTCACAGCCAACAGCAATTGTGTCAAATTTCGGAATCGGTATGGAAGGGCAGGCTGCTCAATATTACACTGAAGCAGTCATATCTACTCTTATTAAAGTGAAATGGACATATGTATCCCTCATACATTCGAACGACGACCACTCCTCCAACATATTAGGCCTTCTCAACAAGAAGCTAGCCCAAACATCCATCTGTTTCGACAGAGTTTATAACATCACCACAATATCAGCATCAGAGGCTATGAGAAAAGCAACAGCTGAAACCGAAACCGTTATCCTCCTCACGAACACCACAGACACCGAGATTATCCTAGCAAGTATGACTCCAAGTGGAAGAAAGTATCGCTTTGTGATGTTCACGTGGAACGTGGGAGCACTCTCCGGCAAAAATCTCAGTTCCGTTGTGGAGGAGACTCTCACTGTGTGGCCTAAATCAGTGTCCAGCTCCCTCGATGGCGGTATAGACATGTCTGGTAATCCTTGGTTCGAAGGTTTTCAAGGGTCCACCAACATCTCATCCAAACCAGAGTTCTTTGCTGATCAAGAGATGTCCGAATCCTTACTTGTATTTGATGCTGTCGGTGCTCTTGCAAGGCAGATTAACTTGGCCTACACAGTACTGTGTCCAAAAAAGGACGGACTTTGTGATGCTTTCACAGATTTTGAAAATGTGAAGTCACACATCCAATCACAGAAAAATTCGATTCGTGCACAGTATGAAATCTCTGTACAACGTTTTCTCAACGATGGGACAATTGTATCGGAAAAGGTAAGAATAAGGTTCATGATAATATTTTCCCTTATGAGTCTTTAACATTACTTTTAAAAGTTGATTAAAATTGACAAATATCTGTCTATACGAATAATACGTACTTTGAGTGGCACTTTAGATACTGGGAAGTACAAACTAGACACACGTTATGGTTAACAACTTCTTTATTTCGTGAGGTGCGACGTTTCGATACAAATTCTTGTACCGTTGTCAAACAGGAGTGTAACATGAAGTGGATGCAACGGATACATACTGAATGTAACAAGGAATACAAGAAAACAAGATAATTAACTTAATTGGCTAGGCATTGAGGGGATAAAGCCAGTGGGTTGACAAAGGGATGAAGGCATAGAATAACATCATGCGGTATTGTTTCAGATCGGCACAGTTGGGACAGACGGTGAAGCCGAACTCATCTTGGATGGAACAGCAGTTCTACCATCTTCGAGTGAATGTGACGGATGGTGTCCAAGATGTCAACGATGCCAGGGGGACCCGTCCCCCTCGAACAGATCACTGTATCTCCCTGGTGATGTCATAGTGGCGGGGATTCTCCCCCTCAGGAACAGCGAACAAGGAGGCCTGAAGTGTGGGCATCTGTCCACATCAGCTGAATCCGAACAAGTTGTGGAAGCGTTCATGTTTGCAGTGGAGACTTTCCGCAGACGCTACCCGTACCTCCTGCCCAATGTGAAAGTTGGGGGCTTGGTGATTGACTCCTGTTCAGATGCAAGCACCGCAGTTCAGAAGGTTGTGAATTTTGAAACGTGTACGACAACTTTCAACACCAACGCTGATGCTCCTCCACATCCTTCCCAGACCCTTGGCTACCTCCTCTACGGCAACCAGGGTGACCTACAGCAGCTGGAACAGTGTGTATCCGCAGTTGATAAACTGTCAGTTGCCACTGTATCAGACTGGGGAGAAAGTAGCACCAACACTTACTTAACCATCGACTACGAAGCCAGAAGCGAGGTATCAGCAATAGTGCAAACATTAACCTTCCTCAACTGGACTCAGGTAGTACTAATCATATCGGACAAGGACGTATTCAGATCGAAGTCGGACCTTCTTTTATCTCAAACAGCTGTGAAGTCAATCTGTGTTTCAAAACTTATAAGGTTTAATGGAACAATCCTGAGCTCGCTTCAATATGCTACGAGCCAGCTTACCTTAACTGGATTTGTTCCCATCGTAGTGATGGCATCAAAAGAAGACACAGTCCGATTGTTCCAGGACAGCAGTGTAAAGAGAGTTCCTCGCACATGGCTCATAAGCACGTCGGCTACAGACTGGTCAGTCCTCAGCGACCTGAATGTTCCAACAGGAACACTCCTCTTGGACAGAAATGGTAAACTGAGTCCAGCTTTTGCCGACTTCTACACAAGCATGCTTGTAGGAAGGAACGCCTCGTCCTGGTGGCAGCAGTACTGGGAGGACAAGACCAGATGCTCTCTGACAGAAACATCTCCATATCTACAGCCCTGCTCGGCAACCGCCGTTCAAAGACCAATGCCATCGCAGGTCGCCACGAGGATCATACTCGGAGTTGACGTCATACTGCACGCGGTGCACAATCAGTATGTGACGTCCTGTGACCAGAAGAGGGGATTCTGTAGGCGCTTCGCTGACGAAGGAATAGGACGAGTCCCTGCCTCAGCGAAAGCCGTGGCATTTGAGTTTGAGGACGAAATCATCAAGTTTGCGGAATCAGGGAAGTTGGTGTCATCGTACAGTCTCCTCAGCGTGCACCCCAAGGGAAGGGTGAAGGTATGTACAGGACGTTCAGAACTTTCTAAATTCTAAATAATTCATAAAAGCAGCTTTCCAGTTCTACTTCACGATTGTGCTTCATAAGATGTGGGCCTGTTTTCTCTAATACAAACACAGGGACACCCCGATATTATCCAGACTAGCTTTGTGAAAGCTTATCCTTGCGTTTTACATATTGTTTGGCACAATTCCAAACCAGTACCAGTGAAGACCATTTATCTTTACACACCAAAGTGACCACATCGCTAGCTCAACCAAAGTAAGGATAAATACGCAAATGAACATAGTTTGCCATTTGCTCTTTTAAAGTTTTTCAGTTTTGACATTACGTTTATGTCTTGTTTAAGGCTGGAGAATGGCGGAGTGGTCAGCTTCAACTGGACGCCAGCAAACTCTACTACATAGACGGACAAACGTCTGCCAACGTTGCCCACTGCCACAGCAAATGCATCTGCCTCAACAATGTCACCACCAAGCGCAACGTCACACCGGCGGATGCTGTTTTCTACGAAACCTCAGGAAGATTTAACGGGGAGCTGTGGGCCACAATCATAGTCACCATATCAGCAGCCGGCGCCTTCGTCACCTTCATTCTCATCTTCTACGTTATCTACAAAGTCTGCGCAGGCGCACTGGCCAAGCGCTACGTTGGACTAGGTCTCCTCCTGCTTGTGGGAGTTCTCCTCCTTTACTTGGCTGTTCTACCATTTGTGTTCACACCCTCCGATACGGTGTGTGGCCTACGTTTTTTCGCACCGGGTTTTACATACTGTTTGTGTTTTGCTACCGTCTTTATAAAAATGACATCAATCCGGGACTATAAGCTGATTGGTTTAGGCGGGGAAGTATCCAATCTGAACCAATTCTTATCCGTATTTTTCGTCACAAGTGTCCAAATTGCGATTGGGATTCAGTATTGGGTTTTAAAAGCTCCTTTCGTCACAGAAAAATCAACCGGCTCTCAGACATTCTACGCATGCGCGTTCCAACGAAGCGAGTTCCTTGTGTATTTGGTGTACGTCATGTTTTTGCTCGTTCTCAGCTCCTTATATGGAATCGGGGTGCGCAAAGAGCAAAAGAACATGGGTGAAGCGCGTCTCCTGTTAACCAGCAGCTGGCTGTGTGTATTTGTGTGGGTGGCGTGGACAATTGTCCTCATGGTCCTGGACGTGACGCTAATTGAACCAGTGGTCAGCGCGGGAATCATGGCGTGCGCGACGCTCATGCTCACCGTCATATTCATTCCAAAAATACATATGGTCGCCAGGCTGAAATATGACGTCTCCAAACAAACAAATTCCATGCAGAATGGATACAAGGTGGATCCAGATTTCATGTTCGAGAGGCCATACTCTCTTCCAGGAACCTTAACAAGCTCATACTCGTCGGTGAAAACCTACCCCAAGAGCATTGAACATTTTGACTCGTCATTGAGTTACTAGTGATGCCAGTAACACTAAACCTATTCGAAGACTACTGTGAAACCTCGTTAATCCGGACGCCCTCTCCTCTCATCATTGGGAAGATCATCGTTATTTATGAAGACGCCCTGTAATTACGATTCATTTACCGAGCACCTGTTTATCCAGACTCATTGAGAAACGTACAGTCCGGATTAACGGGTTTCCCCGTATGTGAAAACTGACACTCAAACCATGAGATAGAGACTCGCTTTTCAAGTGCAAGGCCAGAATTCTTGTCGTTGATGTTGATAATACCTCACTTATGCAACCGTGTTATGATTACCCTCCTTTTGTATTATCATGAACTTTGTCTTCTACCATAGTTTTCTGGGTAGTTCAGCGGATACATATTTCGATCGTCATCGAAGACTTCGGTTCGATTCTCCAGTAAATGAAGTCAGTGAATGAAGTCCATATTTGGATTTACATCCTCTGCGTTCTCTCGGTTTACGTACAGTGGCGATGGGCATTATGAACCCTGCCCGATTTCAATTTAACCCACAGGGCAAAATGCTTTCCATTTAACCTACTGAGGCACAATGCTTTCCATATATCGAACCTGATTCCATATGCTTTCCATTTAACCTACTGAGCCACAGTTCTTTCCATTGACTGTATCCGACTCCATATGCTTTCCATTTAACCCACTCGACGTCAGAAGCTTTCCATTTAACCAGCTTTACGCCGGAATGTTTGCCATTTGTAACCTACTTGAAACACGATTTGCATTTCACATACTTCGCAATCAATCTTTCATCGACTTTGTTAAAATGAAGCATTAACATAGAATATAGCAAAGGTGTCTTGACTTCATCGGACTTACATGCATCAGATCATTGTAAGGGACACAATGTCATGTTACCGTGTGTTACAGAGTATTGTATGTTTGTACATTAACATTGCTGTTCGTCATCTCCTTATGAGGACCTATGTGTAGATTTGACTCTTCATCTCAACCATTGTGTTAACGCTGTCGAATTCATTTTGCCTTTGACAATGACGATTTATGACAATCAGATGACTTTTGTGAATTCTTCATGGACCTGCGTTGTATGATCTAGTGACGCATTGTTATGTCTAAATGCAACGAACGTAACGTTCCGACATCTTCTTGAGTCTAGAATGAGTGAGTGCACGTTGTTTTACGCCGCACAAGCGTTACGATCGTATTGTGGAATTTGGCCGAGTCAGATAAAAACATTTCAAGAATATCATTACATACAGAGATGTCAACATAAGACAAAATCATCAAAAGTTTCTGTTCAAATTCTTATGTGACAATTGTTACCGTATCTACAACACGTTAGCATCATTCTGACACCTACAGTAGTGCATGTGGAGTGATACTCCTGTAATCCGTCCCCCGTTAATCGAGATCCTGTGCTATCCAGACGAGTACCGCCACATCATTAAATATGTACATATAATTTACAAAGAACCTATGATTCGTCAGGATTTCGTTATACCGAATCTGTACCGTCCTTATAAACGGGGTTCGCTTTAAATGTGGATTAAATAAACAAGACCATTTATATGGCTGATTGTTGTCTATAGTAATTCCATCCCAATGACGTCACGTTAAGTCCATTATGTTGAGGATGTCCATTATATCCAGGTTTCTCTTTTATCTAGAGGGCTTAGTGTCACAGCTTTTCTGATCGTAATCTTTACACAACTAACATCGATCGGTTTGAATGAATCGTCGACTCTATTAGATTATGTTGAGTATTAAAGTTGATATTGAGTCAATTAAAATCTTTATACGGAGTAGGAATGCGAACATTACGTAGTCGTAAATGCGAACATGACGAACTAAGATAAGCGGACATTATTTTGAAGGATATGCGAAGACTACGAAGTCAGCAATGCCGACATTACGAAGTAGTTAATGTGAACATTGCAGAGTAAGATATGCAGACATCGACGTAGGATATGCTGACATTACGGAGCAGGATATGCTGACATTACGGCTGACATTACGGAGCAGGATATGCGGACATTACGGAGCAGGATATGCTGACATTACGGTGCATGATATGCTGACATTACGGAGCAGGATATGCTGACATTACGGAGCAGGATATGATGACATTACGGTGCATGATATGCTGACATTACGGAGCAGGATATGCTGACATTACGGAGCAGGATATGCTGACATTACGGAGCAGGATATGATGACATTACGGTGCATGATATGCTGACATTACGGAGCAGGATATGATGACATTACGGAGCAGGATATGCTGATATTACGGAGCAGGATATGCTGACATTACGGAGCAGGATATGCTAATACTACGAAGTCCAAAATGTGGACATTACGAAGTAGTTAATGTGGACATTACGGCGTAGGATATGCGGACATTGTGAAGATGAAAATGTGGACAGTACGGAGTATGACATGTGGACATTAGACAGTAGGATATGCGGACTTGGAAATGCGAACATTACGAAGTACACGATGTGGATTAGGAAATGATCTCCCAACCTGACGGGGTTGGCCCTACGTCTCTTCCACTTTGTTGTACCATATACTTGCCTTGACTTCCAGAGTTACTTTGTTATTGTTTATTTCATCATGACTTGTTATCGGGCGATAAGATATCAACACACACATGTATGTATCATATGTAAATAAATATTTATACTTATAACTTCCATGTGTATATTGTTAGTACTGAGGAGTATGCCCTCTTTTGGTGTTACAGACCTCAAAAGGTTTGTCCATGGCTGAGGCCAGTTTGATAACAAGGGTTAACCTTGTGCTGGTTCATAAAACAGCATAAACACATGGGTATGAAGCTAATACTGCATACAGGGCGGTAGGGTAGCCTAATGGTTAAAGCGTTCGCTCGTCACTCCGAAGACCCGAGTTCGATTCCTCACATGGGTACAATGTGTGAAGCCCATTTCTGGTGTCCAACGCCGTGATATTGCTATAATATTGCTAGAAGCGGCGTAAAACTAAACTCACTCAATTAATACTACACACTTCCTCACTATTCACACCCTTAAAACTTACGACGAAAGGCTGTTTTACAAAGTTGAGACGGAGTGAAAAAAGCACTTCACTTGTTGCCATGGTTAAGTGAAATTTGAAAAGCCATGCACGGAACAATAATCGGGCATGTACAAATGTGTCATTACATACAGGTTACAGATTTAGTGACCCGTGAAGATCCGGGTTAGAATTGATCTTCAGTAACCCATGCTTGTCGTAAGAGGCGACTAACGGGATCGGGTGGTCAGGCTTGCTTGGTTGACACATGTAATTGTATCTCAATTGCGTAGATCAATGCTCATACTGTTGATCACTGGATTGTCTGGTCCAGACTCGATTAGTTACAGACCGCCGCCATATAGCTGGAATATTGCTGAGTGCGGCGTAAAACTAGACTCACAGATTTAGTATTTATAAAATGCATCAGTGTGAATGAGAGGGTGGCTCCGCATATATCAGGTATACCACGTAATGGCTTAATGTAGTATAACTTGCAGTAATGCACTCCTTAGATGTGTACTACTTTGGCTAAACCCTAGCTTGATCACAGGTACCTAATGCAGTTTAGGGACGCGACTCTGCACAGCGAATCGCAGCGCCTCAGACCTACTTCGTGAAATATATTTAAATGTCTTTATCCAAATATATGCACTTTTTTGCGAGAAGATGCAGTTCCCAGGTATTAATTGCAAAGAGTTCCTGTCCTTTTCAATATAAATGGCAGCGCATGCATAAAGTCGATAAATGAAATATGATACGGAGTATTTTATATATATGTATATATTTACATATTATTATAAAGGGATTCTGTTTTTATTATCTATATATATAAAATGTATGATATATGTCAAGTTGATGAGATAATACAACTGACGATTGAATGCATGTTTGAAGTAGCTATATAGAGACGCGGTAGAGAACATTTATGGACGCTCCACTTGTTGTCATGGTCACGAGGAGAAGGTTGTCGTGAGGATGTCCATCATTCACCAACCAGCAACGCGATCTGTATGGCATAGAAACTAATGGTTTGGTTTTGGTTTGGTTTGTTGCTTAACGCCGCCCTCCGTGATCAACAGCATGAGCATCGATCTATGCAATTAGGATGCGATGACATGTGTCAACCAAGTCAGTGAGCCGGACAACCCCATCCCGTTAGTCGACGCTTATGACAAGCATTGCTGATTATAACCCGGATCTTCAAGGGTCTGAAGAGCAATGGTTATCAAAAGCATCCTTGCCCGACTCCACGCAACAGTCGTTAATATTATCTCGTCAGTGTTTGTTCGTCGGGGCTCTATATAACTGACGTATATGTACTAATATTTGAAAAAAACACAGACAGAATTGGGTATATGAAAGAATGAATGCTATTTTTGGAAAGTGCCCTCATTCCTTAAATAGTACTTGAACTTTAGCAGATTAATTCTTTTCAAATAAAAGGGGGATAGCAAAATCCATTTACTGTCTTCTCTTAAACCTTTAGAATAGGAACTATTAAACGTTAAAACATACATTGGTATTTGCGAAAAACATCCCGGGATAAACTAGAAAACCTATACGTTCGAAATGCATCCCCCGTACAAACTATTTGTTGCAAGAGGCAGCTAATGAGGATCACGCACAATAAAATATTGTTGCCTGGCACCCCGCCTTGACGACGTGAACATTTGTTCATGTTGTCAAACACTTGTTTGCATGGCTCGGGACACCGTGACATATTAGTATTTTCCTGACAAAACACGAACACCACCTTGGGATGGACAACGTTAGACCGTAGGCAAAGGCCGGTAACTCTGCCAAACTTCCGCAGGGAACGCCAAGAACACTAACACAGAGGACCTTTTAAATCTCTTGTAACTGTAATTGTTTCAAAGAAGATGAACCCATCTCGTATATTACTATTATGTGAATTTATAAGTTCGGTTAAAAAGAATACATATAAACCAAAGTCAACCTGAATACGTAGTTACTAGTTGTTAAACCAAATACTGAAGACGACAGTGTACGAAGCGGCCTAGAAATGACAGTGGTAGGGCAGTGATGACAGCATCTACACCATATTAGCGTCTTCAACAGGATGCAGTGAGTGAATGAGTTTGGTTTTACGCCGCTGTTAGCAATATTCCAGCAATATCACGGTGGGGGACACCAGAAATGGGCTTCGCACATTGTACCCATGTGGGGAATCTAAAACTGGTCTTCGGCGTGACGAGCGCACGCTTTAACCACTAGGCCATACCATCGTCCCTCAACCAGATGCAGAAACGTCATCAGATTAATTACTGCTCTGAATGTAGATCCTTATTACGTACAGTAATGTGGATGCAAGGTTACTTGACGTGGCGACAGACTCTTGCGCGCATGTATGTAGTTTGTATATAATCATGTGCATTGTGAGCAGGTTGATCACGATTTATTCCATATGCAAACAAAATAGCGTTTGGTATTCGTGGCACACGTGCTGTAAACTGTATTATACACGGAAGAATAATTTCTATTCAAACAGAAATGAAGCTTCTGAGGACACGTTTTTAGGGGTCACTATGACCTTGACACTGAGGGTATGCACCTGCAGGTATTCAGTCTCACACCTCTCGGGCCAGCACCGCGGGGCTGCAGGTTGGGGCGCTTATTGTCCCGTCACGCACAGATATATATCACGCTGGGTTGCCCATTGTGGATATTTTGGATGTTTGCCAGAGAGATGTCAAAGACTGACTGAGATGCAATGACCGAGACCACTGTGTCTTAAGTTCCGATGATAGGCACACAAGCAGAGATGCAGTGTCTGAGACAACAGAGAGGATAGTTGGAGTGTTTCACACTCGAGCAGAAATGCAGTGTCTGAGACTACAGAGAGGATAGTTGAAGTGTTTGACACACGAGCAGAGCTGTAGTATCTGAGACGACAGAGTGGATAGTTAGAGTGATTGACACTCGAGCAGTGTCTGTGACTTCAGAGAGGATAGTTGGAGTGTTTGACACACGAGCAGAGCTGTAGTATCTGAGACGACAGAGTGGATAGTTAGAGTGATTGACACTCGAGCAGTGTCTGTGACTTCAGAGAGGATATTTTTGAGTGTTTGACTGACGAGACGAAATGCAATGGTAGAGTGTAGATGATTGAGAGTTTTAAGAGTAGCAGGGATGCATTGTGGATTAAGATGCAGAGTGGATAGTTGGAATGTTTGACAAGTCTGTTTGTTGTTTGTTGTTTAACGCCGCACTTAGCAGTATTCCAGCTATATGGCGGCGGTATAAACAAGTCTGGACCAGACAATCCAATGATCAACATCAGCATCGATTTACGCAATTGGAATACGATGACCTGCATCAACCCTGTCAGGGAGCCTGACCACCCGATCCCGGTAGTCGCCTCTTACGACAAGCATGGGTTGCTGTAGACCATATTTAACAGACGAGAAAAGATGGAATGGACAAGATCACAGTTACTGATGTTGAGTTATTAGGCAGACGAATATAGGTGTAACTGTTTAAGCACGGGTGAGTAAGTCTGAGAGTCTCTCAGACGATACCCGTGAAGGTCTGGGTTAGACTATTGATCTTCAGTAACCCATGCTTGTCGTAAGAGGCGACTAACAGGATCGGGTGGTCAGGTTCGCTGACTTGGTTGACACATCTCATCGGTTCCCAATTGCGCAGATCGATGCTCATGCTGTTGATCACTGGATTGTCTGGTCCAGACTCGATTATTTACAGACCGTTGCCATATAGCTGGAATATTGCTGTGTGCGGCGTAAAACTAAACTCACTCACTCACTCTCAGACGAGCAGAAATGCTATGACGGAGGCTACAGTGTACGTCGTTGGGATGTTTGACAGATGAGCAGAGATCAAACAGTGAGGGCATGGTTGGATGGGAATGTTTGACAGGGGCAGAGCTTCAGTACCTGAGAGCACAGGGTGAATAGTTGGAAACGATTAACAGACGAGCAAACATGTAAACACAGACCACACCATGTTTAGTTTGGGGTGTTAGTACTGTTACCCCCTCACGAGCTAAAGAGACCTGAGCCCTTATTCTCGAAACGTTCGTAGCCCTAAGAATTCTTAACTTTGATCGTAGCCAATGTATTAAGAATGGGCTTAAGAAGTTCGTAGGGCTACGAACGTTTCGAGAATACACAGCCAGATCCTGTTTTATATGCAGCTTAAGTATAGAGAATAAGTCATGCTTGATATGGACGATATGTAGAGTAGAACTGGTGTCATAATGAAGGAAGGTCAAGTGGACAGTAAGTGGAGTATGTATCTTTACAAAAGCAAAGACATGGTTACATCTAGTAAGTTGGCATGGTCACATTTAGACATTAAGTAAACATTGTCACATTTAGACATTAAGTAAACATTGTCACAATTAGATATTAAGTAAGTAAACATTGTCGCAATTAGATATTAAGTAAGTAAACATTGTCACATTTAGAGATTATGTAACTAAACATTGTCATATTTAGATATTAAGTAAGTAAACATTGTCACATTTAGAGATTATGTAAGTAAACATTGTCACATTTAGATATTAAGTAAGTAAACATTGTCACATTTAGAGATTAAGCAAGTAAACATTGTCGCATTTAGATATTAAGTAAGTAAACATTGTCACATTTAAATATTAAATAAGTAAACATT